ATGGTTATTAGTTTTGTGCTGGCTCAACTGTTCTGGCATTTATCAGACATTGCTTTGTCCTTCACAGTCTGCCCCAGTGGAATTTTCTGACTAGCTGCCATATTACTAGAGTCCTGCTGCTGCAATACAGACACTGGCAGTGTGTGCACTCCCCGTGCAGAGAAACCACACATGAGAATGCAAGGCCACAGGGCTTGGGGAAAATGCTTCACCAGAATAGCTTGCTGTGAATCAAGTGAGTGAAGTTTAGCAATCAGCAACTTAATGATCTGGTAATACTGCTCTCTGGTGGCTATGCCAAATATCAGCATGCAGCTTTGCCTTTTGCCTTTTGGTGAGTCGGCTAATTAACGTGCGGCATTTTGTGCCTGCTATAACATGAAGGCATCAGTTCGCAGTAAAGATTCCTAAAGTTGATTAGCAGATTTGGACTCACTCAACCAACCATGTAGCTAGTACAGCAATAAGCATCTCTCTGTCACTCCCTGCCCCCCTTTGTACAGCATGTGCACTTGTATACCTAATAATCCTGCTGCCCCCTGGATGATACACTGACTGACTGCAACCTAAACCAAGCAACTACTGGGCAAGCCAGGGTCAGACTTTTACACTTCAATCATGTGGATACTTGCTTGTGGGCCTCTCAGTAGGGCCTGACCCAGGTATAGCATTACCTGTGTTGTTATTGCTGTCTACATCTGTATTAAAGAAGCAGGGATCTAGTTTACCATCACATGGCAGCTAGTCAGACAAGATTACAGGAAGAATCTAGGCTTTTGCCAACTTGAGGCTAGTCCTGTACAAAAAAAAAAAAAAAAATCACACTTGCAACCACATTATCAAACTGTGGCATTTTACTTTTCAGGACTGTCTTCCTTAGTACACCTAGGTTTTGTGCTACCAACTACTTCCTAAGTGGAGTATTTTGCATTTTTCCTCATTGAATTCCATCCTCTTTACTTCAGACCATTTCTCTAGTTTGTCCAGATCATTTTGAATTTTAATCCTATCCTCCAAAGCACTTGCAACCCCTCCCAGCTTGGGATTGTCCACAAACATTATAAGTGTACTCTCTAGGCCGTTATCTAAATCACTGGTGAAGATATTGAACAGAACTGGACCCAGAACTAATCCCTGCAGGACCCCACTTGATATGCCCTTCCATTTTGACCACTGATAACTACTCTCTGGGAACGGTTTCCCAATCAGTTATGCACCCACCTTATCGTAGCTCCATCTAGGTTGTATTTCCCTAGTTTGTTTATGAGGTCATGCGACACAATATCAAAAGCCTTACGCAAGTCAAGATATACCACATCTACCGCTTCCTCCCATCCACAAAGCTTGTTACTTTGTCAAAAAAAGCTATCAGGTTGGTTTGACACGATTTGTTCTTGACAAATCCATGCTGACCATTACTTATCACCTTATTATCATCTAGGTGTTTGCAAATTGATTGCTTAATTATTTGCTACATTATCTTTTTGGGTACAGAAGTTAAGCTGACTGGTCTGTAATTCCCCAGGTTGTCCTTATTTCCGTTTTTGTAGATGGGCAAAATATTTGCCCTTTTCCAGTCTTCTGGAAGCTCACTCATTGTCCATGACTTTTCAAGGATAATCACTAATGGCTCAGATATCTCCTCAGTCAGCTCCTTAAGTATTCTAGGATGTATTACATCAGGTTCTGGTGACTTGAAGACATCTAACTTGTCTAAGTAATTTTTCACTTGTTCTTTTCCTATTTTAGCCTCTGATCCTACCTCATTTTCACTGGCATTCATTAAAGTAGCTGTTCAATTGCTACTAAACTTTTTGGTGAAAACTGAAACAAAAAAGTCATTTAGCACTTCTGCCAACTGCACATTTTCTGTAATTGTTTCGTCTCGCTCATTGAGTAACGGGCCTACCCTGTCCTTGGTCTTCCTCTTGCTTCTAATGTATTTGTAGAATGCTTTCTTGTTACTCTTTAATGTCTCTAGCTAGTTTAATCCCAGCCTTGTGCCTTGGCCTTTCTAATTTTGTCCCTACATACTTGTGTTATTTATTTATATTCATCCTTAGTAATTTGAACTAGTTTCCACTTTTTGTAGGAGTCTTTTTTGAGTTTCAGATCATTGAAGATCTCCTGGTTAAGTCAGGATGGTCTCTTGCCATACTTCCTATTTTTCTTACACAGGGGATAATTTGCTCTTGTGCCATTAATAATGACTCTCTGAAAAACTGTCGCTTGAACTGTTTTTCCCCTTAGACTTGCTTCGCAAGGGCTCTTACCTACCAACTCCCTGAGTTTGCTAAAGTCTGCCTTCTTGAAATCAATTTTCTTTATTGTGCTGTTTTACCTCCTACCATTCCTTCTTAGAATCATGAACTCTACCATTTCATGATCACTTTCACATAAGCTACCACTTTCAAATCTCAACCAGTTTTCCCTAGTTGTCAAAATCAAATCTAGAACAGCTTCCCCCCAATGGCTTTTTCCACCTTCTGAAATAAAAAATTGTCTCCAGTGTATTCCAAGAATTTGTTGGATAATGTGTGCTGCTGTATTATTTTCCCAACAGATGTCTGGGTAGTTGCACTGCCCCATCGCCACCAAGTCCTGTGCTTTGGATGATTTTGTTAGTTTATAAAAGCCTCATCTACTTCTTCTTCTTCCTGGCTAGGTTCTTGGTTCTTACACAGAGAAGAGTTCATATCCCATAAGCCATTTCAATACTCACGGAAGCCAGTACTGCCAACTCACCTCTGTTCCTAAAATATCTAGACTGACATTGGCTGCCTCCTGCAAGGTGCACAATTAGGGTTGCCAACTTTCTAATCGCATAAAATCAAACATCCTTATACCGCTCCTGTCCCCCCGGTGACTCCATCACCCCTCCCTCCGTCACTCACTCTCCACCACCCTCATTCACTTTCACTAGGCTGGGGGTTGGGGTGTGGGAGGGGATGAGGGCTCTGGCTGAGGGCGAGAGCTCTGGGGTGGGGGCAGAAATGAGGGGTTTAGGGTGCAGGAGGGGGCTCTGGGCTGAAGCACAGGTTGGGGTGTGGGCTCTAGGAGGGAGTTAGGTTGCAGGAGTGGGCTCGGCTGGGGCACAGGGTTGGGGTGCAGGAGGGGGTGTGGGCTCTGGGAGGAAGTTAGTTTGCAGGAGTGGGCTCAGGGTTGGGAGTTGGGTGCAGGCTCTGGAAGGAAGTTAGGGTGTGGGAGGGGATTCGGACCTGGGGCAGGGGCGCGGGAGTTGGTTTGGGCTCTGGGCGGCGCTTACTTCCTGTGGCTCCCGGAAGCGGCTGACATTGCTGGCTCCTAGCTCTGCGCACTGCCTGCCCTGGCAGGCGCCACCCCTGCAACTCCCATTGGTCGCAGTTCCCAGCCAGAGGGAGCTGCGAAGCCGGCACTTGGGGCAGTAGCAGCATGCAGAGCCCCCTGGCCCTTGTGCCTAGGAGCCAGAGAGGGGACATGCTGCCGCTTCCAGGAGCTGTGCGGAGCTAGGGCAGGCTGGGAGCCTACCTTAGGCCCGCTGCACTGCCAACTGGACTTTTAGCGGCCCGGTCAGCAGTGCTGTCTGGAACCGCCAGGGTCCCTTTTCAACCGGGCATTCCGGTCAAAAGCTGGATGCCTGGCAACCATATGAACAATAATAGCTGAAGAGATGCAGAACGACTCTTGCTTTAAGGGAAAGAGGGCAGCTGCTTCCTGGGTGCACCACCTTTACCCCTTCCTCCCAAACCACCTGGAAGGGATTTCTGTGGAATTCTGGGGGGCAGGGAAGGAACAGAGTGCAGAGCCTGTGCTCTCCCCATGTTTGTATCCCTCTGTGAGATCTTACATATTTGGTTTTCCTCAGCTTATATGCCCAAAGGGCAGAATATAGACTTCCGCAGTGACCCGATTCTGTTCTCACACCTGTGCATCTCCACAGATTTCACTGCTTTTAGACTCTTGAGTTACACCCATGTGAGCAAGAGCAGTATTTTAAAGTTAGTGTAAATGAGCCTTAGTGTGAGAATCAATCTTTTACCAACAGTCTCCCTGACTCTACCAATATGTTAATTTAAAAATAAAATTCTCAAACTCTGAAAGAAGATTTAACTTTGAAAGATAGATCTAGGGTACTTGCCTCTTGGATTGTTCTTTCTGGCTTTTGTTATACAAGTGTATTTTTTAAATTTAAAATGTCATTATACTGGGATTAAATCACACTTTTGCAATCAAGCCAATGCTGCTTCTATTATTTTGCTCTTCCTCATCACAGCTGTGGACTTCACATGCTGAACGAGGGAGGTCACCCCACTTGGTCAGAAAGGATGGAACAGAGGAAAGAATTTTAAGCTCTCCGGTGTGATGTCTAGAATGAAATGGAGAATTTTAACATCTTGGGAGGTGGATGCGTCAGTGTATAAAATATGCATGCACACACACAAACACATACAGCTGAACCACTAAGTTGTGTCAGCACCAGGGCCGGCTCTGGCTTTTTTGCCACCCCAGGGGGGAGGGCGTGGGGGGGGGCCTGGGAGGAGGGCGGCGAGCCCCAGTGAGGGCTCGGCTTTCCCCCCGGCGGCCAGACCGCCGGGGGCAGGGCGGCGAGCCCCGGCTGGGGCTCGGCTCTCCCCCCGGCGGCCAGAGCGCAGGGGACAGGGCGGCGAGCCCGGCTGTGGCCCCGCTCTCCCCGGCGGCCGGAGCGCCGCGCTGCCCCCCTCCAGGTGCCGCCCCAAGCACAAGCTTGGTGGGCTGGTGCCTGGAGCCGGCCCTGGTCAGCACCCAATGTCATTATGATGCGATAAATGCCTCACTCAAACCACAAGATGACACTAGAGCCAGGTTTTGTGGATGAACAATATTTCACCAATGTAGCTTTATATTTAACAAATAAAGTGCATGTATTTCAAAGCATTAATACTGTTCTTAATAAGCCAAAGCCACTTGAAAACACTTCAATACTTATCTTTAGAGTAATTTATTAGCAAAAAACATATATTGCTAAAAAACAGACACCAAGAATGATCATTTCTGTAATTCTCATCACATCATAGAGACAAGTTACTGATATTTAACATTTCCAATATACTTGTTCTCACATGAGCTGAAAGGACCAAACAAAACCTCCATATGTAGAAATTTCACACTTTAATATAAAATGTAAAATAACATTTTTTAATTTAAAGAGCGGGTGTGCTAAAGTTACATCTTTACATAGGATGACAGAGAAAATTCTTCGCATACATGCTCAAGTAAATGCTGTAGAAAACATCAAAGTGTTCCTTGCATCCTTCAATAGATAAAGTACACAGCAGCATCTAAACGGGCCATGATTTGAGAGGCAAAGTGAGCTGGGGACACACTGTAGCCACAAGCCAAGGTAAGGGTCCAGTCCTATGTGCAGAACTTTAATGGAGTTACATGTGCAAGACCAGACTCTTCAAAACTTTGAGAGCTTCAGAAGGTGAGTCTGAGCTGTAGCAATAATATGATAGAACATTGTAGAAATGCAGGCCCCACACACTGTGTTAAAAGCAATTATAAAACGTCACCAACAACCTCTTCACAACAAAATGTCTACAAATAATCCAGAATAATTCCCCTTTTTAAAAGCAATTTTTACAAAAATAAAGGTTTAAAATTTAAAAGAACTGATGAAGTACAAACCTCCACCATGATTCAGACAAGTCTTCATTTGAAGTTTTATTTTAAAAGAACTGTCAAAGAATGTATCTTTTGATGGATTTTCTCTTTGCCTCTATTGTGATAACTATCAGACCCTCGTTCCTTGCAGTTTATAACAGCCACTTCAATGGTAGACACAAAATCTGTTTACTTACAAAAATTTATAAGTCATCCGATGAACATACTAGTTTATTATTGTAGGGTTACTAATACATCCTCAGCTACTTTGAAGTCTGTATAAAACCTGAAGGAACATCAGACCGTTAGCTACAGAAAAAAAATGCATGTAAAGAATTACATGAAGTTTGCAAATAGATTAGGGAAAAGGGTAGTTCAAATTTCTTTGTTTACTGTACTAACCTTGACAGTGTCCCTTTAATACACAGGGCTACTTAAGATTAATTTAATAATGTCAGAAGGGGAAAGAATGTCCCAAGACTAATTTAAAATTGACTACCCATGGTTTAAAAGAGAATCTGTTTTCACTGGAATACTGACCTGCTACTGCTCTCAGAATATTTTGGTACAGCATTGTATGCTTTAAAGATGGGTTAACAGTTTGGGTCAAATTTTGCTGTCCTAATTTAGCTTGAATGTTGCAACTGGATCTGTGCAGGCCCCCTGAAGCCAAAGAGGCTAGAAGTAGGCACAGAGATCCATCTGCAGATCCAGGTACAACAGCAAGGCCCCTGTTTTATCCTAGTGCATGAAAGTGCACATAGTTAGTGGCACAATGACAGGCAAGTTATTTCAGGTCATGGACTTCCTTCTGCGTCACTGTTGTACTAGCTCTTTAGCATGGTTTCAAAGTTCTCATTAAGCCCTAGATTCTGCCACCATTATTTACAATGAAGTTGGCTTCAATGGGATCACTCGCCAAGAATCTGGCCCGATGAAATGAAGCTGTAAACATCTTAATCCTGAAATGCACCAACACTTGCAGCAGCACACGGACATTACTCAACACACAGATGTTAGTGGCAGAATGTTCTCCACCCAAAACACACTTACATCATCTGGCATCAGACAGTTTCCAGAATATTTTTTTTAAAAGAAATTTAAACAGGCTGAAGGGAAACAGCAGCTCCTGCTATTCCACTGAGGGCTACATTGTGACTCAAACTACATATCCATGTAAGGGAATAAAAGCTCCCGTAAAGGCTCTGCACCGGCTACCCAGACCATAGGTCCTGGGCATTTCGGAGTAAGCAGGCACTGCAAGCCCATAAGGAATCACAGCAACATGTTGCACCCTGGGAGTCACAGGCAGCAACTCTGAGCATCTAGAACCAGAACCTAGAGACTTTAACCACAGACCATGAAGATTAAGACTTGGGACCCTCTGCCAAACCGGGTAACAATGACACAAAAGCCTCTCAGTAAAAGATATATTACATGGCAGACGTCTGCTAAACAACCTACTGTCTGGTCAGCCCTGTCTACCAGTATGCTAACTTTTTAGAAAGACCAAGAATTTATGAGACTCTATATATGGCTTCCACAGTAGGCAAAATGAAAGCGGAAGGTCCTGTATATTCTACAGTTCACCAGGGCAGCTGGAAACCAGTAACAGAAAAGAGCAGATATAGACAGTATTGAAATCACTGGCATGCCTTGATTTGCTTTGCAGTTTCACTGCTATTTAAAACATACCATGGTTTTTATCAGGCATAACGTGTGTAGTTATAGTGGAGATTGTAGTGCTACTGCTGGGCGAGAAAATTCTCTCTTAACAAGCGCATATGTTTCCAGTATTACATTTTTTCTAAAAGCCTTGGCTGCCCCCAGGGTCTAATCATGGGGGAGAGAGACTCGAGTTTATATCCCAGCCTGGGAACCTGCCCTCCTGCTGGGTTTGCAAGAGAACGAGGAGGAAGAGGAGCCACTAGTTAGTGAATTGCTGTTACATTTTGGTGGAAGCCACTTTTATACCCTGCTAGCAATAGAGGAGGGAGAGGTTTTAGGAGTTTACACTTGGGTGCTTGGCAGGGGGGAGTGAAGGGAGAGGGATTCCTGGGATTTATGGACCAGCTGTCAGTCAAGTCATGTTCAAAACCAGCAAATGTAGGTTGGATGGGGGGTGGGGTTAACCTCTGACCAAAAAAATTGAGGATGCCCTTGTATTTTGACCGAGTGCAAACACCTGTCACTTGGTAACTGTACACAGTGCCACCTCAGAGCCATTAATGAGATGAGTTTGTAAGTTCAGTCTGGTTTCTAATACACTTTTCATTCTCCAGTTTTAATTATCAATATAGTATTGGTCTCTATGAGAAACCATTCTGTCTCACTGGTTCACATCTTCCTGTCTGACAAGGGACATAAGGAAATCTGGTAATGTAGCCAGTGAGTTTCCTATAGGACAATGACTGCTCTAAGATATTGTTAATAACATCTTAAAAAATTCTTCCTATGTGACCTAAGAGCCAAGCATCCCTGTGTGTTGTACACAAGGTACAGAGTGTGTCACATATGAAGTCAGCTGGCTCCAGTTTTTAAACAGTGACAAACTGATCTCCGTACAGGAGAATTCAACTGAAGTCCATTTTTAAAAGCATCCATAACAAATAAAGTCAATGCAAGAGAACGCTGTCACAGAATAGCAACTCCTGCTGCTATTGTAGAGAGAAGTTTATCAAAAACACTTTAAGGTTTATCTGGGAGTCATTTATCTAGTGAGGACATTCAATGACTTTATAGCCCTTATACCAGAGGATTGAAAATCAAAATGAAACCTACTTTAGTGCAACAGAATTACAGTTACTGTCTACAAACCCTGTATGCTGTGGTATTTCCACAAGCAGAACATGTGAACAATCAGGCTTTATCATTTCTGCAAAGCTGTGTTCTGATTGCCTGAAGCATGGCAATCCATTCCTGCAAGCCAAGCGGATGCCATTTCGCTATTTTTCCCCAAAATTCTTCTGTCCTATGAGCAATGAGCTAGTTTCCAGTCCTCTGATCTGAATTTTTATTAACAATGACCAGCCAGCAAAGCAATCTTAGTGGTGGCCAACAAATTCATGTTGTATATGATATAAGCAGCATTTTTCCAGAAATTCTTTTCATAAACATCTAAATTAAAAATGCTATAAAACATTTAAGACATCATAAATAAACTTATTCTGAAAAAATCTCTTTTCAAGTAATTAATAAATAAAACCCATCCTTATTTGCTAGCACAAACAGGCTGGATTATAAAAGTGCTATGGAGAATCTGCAGAGACCTTGCTTGTTTCGTGCTTAGTTGCTCAATGGTTTCCAAGGCAGAGCTTCTTGCTCTGGTGCTGCTGTTCATCTAGTGATTTTGTTTTCTGTACGCCATCTAAAACACAAGATGTTTTAAGAGAATATTAAATATACATTAAACACTCAAATGTATCGTGACCATATCACTGCTGTTATAGCCATGATGTTCTCAGTATATTAGAGAGAAAAGATGGTGAAGTGGGTCCAATAACAGATATTAGTTCACCCCCTTGACTGTGGGGATAGTTAAGCAGACTCAACCCCTAAGAGATACCTATATAAAGTATCAGGCAACTGAGAATTACTCAGCTATTACTCCACTGAAAGAATGCTGGTGACATGCCAGCACACGCTGTTCGTACAGTCATTAGCACACAGCAATGGGGGTCGAGAGCTCTAGATAAAAATGTCTATCCCTTTTTATTTGCTATAACACATGGGTCTGAGTCTGGATCCAGGGACTACACAGGTCTTCCTCTTTCATATGTACTCCAAGTTCCCAGGGAAGGCACAGGTCAATGCCCTTGCCACATTCCCAACTATGAATACTTGTCATTAGTGGGTTTAAAACTGCAATCAGTTAATTAAAATATTTAATCTACTTTAGGACAGACAGACACTCTATGCAAGCACAGTATTGTGTGTGCACACAGCACTTCAGGATTCTCATACCTTGGGCTGAAAACAGAGGTAGCATATTTAGTTTCAGCAAGGATAAGGGAGCACCTTTCCCGAGATGGAGGAGCTTACTCCACTTAAGCACAGCCATTGTGAGGTAAGTATACTGAGTGGCCCAGAATGGAGATGGTTTTAAAACTCAAGGGCACCACATTAAAGGAATAAACATTTGGAAAATGAGCCTGTTGACAACAGCGGTCAAGCACTGGGACCTTATGCACCTCTCCTCAGCTAGGGTTGAAAATAGTTTAGTTATTGGTATTCTGCAGTGGTTAGTGAACACCAATGTAATATCTGATGAATTCCTGACCAAACAACCAAAGAAGAGAGTGCCCCTGAGAATTGATCTCAAATTTCACATGGACCTCACTGCATGCTGGAGTTTAGTCAGTGCTCTGTGGCCTCTCACAGACCAGAAACAATCAGTGAAACTCCTAGCTGTGTATACAGTATGCAGACTCAGTACTTCCAGTCAAGGTATTCCCAGTTACCCCCGGAACAAGATATCTAGCATGCCTTCTGCATTGGGTGTTACAAATATTTTGGCTCTGTTTACATCATTTCCAAACCTGATTCAGAGGCTAACAGCTGATGCTAGTTTGTTGCAGTGGATCATTTCCCCTAGCGTAGAAAGGGCCTTAGCATGACACTGTGACTTAATTCCTGTCTTTGGAAAATGACAGCTCGCTTGGCACATACACTTGCTTGGGGTTGAAGGAGTGGGAAACAGCTCATATTCAGTGATCTGGGAACCAACTGCCATTAAATGCAATGGAAATGAGAGTTGCTTGAGAAAAAGTGATTAAAAGTATTGGTACATTTTTTTATTTATAAAACGTGGACAGTGGTTTGAATTTTTGAAAGCATTAAGTGACTTCAGAGCCCACATCTCATTGAAAGTCACTGGTACTTGTGCTCCAAGTCACTTGAAGGCTTTTCAAAAACCCTCCCAATAGGATGGATTCATCAGTGCAAAAAACTAGGATACTACGGATAACTTACATACCTGGATAAAGCACTACTGGATATTTATGTTGTGGGGGGGGGGGTGCCAGGTTTGGTTTTTTTTTTAAATGAATACAGAAGTTTTATACTCACCACTAGTATCTAGTTGAAAGTTTAAATAGGCATGTTGTATCTGTCAGAATTTGAAAAGTGAGCTATGACCTTGCAAGTATTCAGGGTTTGTTTTCAAAATCTGTTGTATTTATTGCATGTAATTACTTACAACCTGTTACTACAAATACTTACTTTCTCTGGCTGTGGGCTCATGAACACCAGTGTGGGATGGGCTTAGTTGCCACTGTGAAAAAGAAAAAGTTTCATTTTTTCTAGAGGACAAAAACAAACAATGGGAGGAAGAGGACATTTGGGACATCACTTCATTTTAAGGTTGTGAGCTCCTCTGACACTATAAAACTACAAACAAGGTTTGCTTTCTTTTCACACCTCACCTTTTGAAGGAAAAAACCATTGCTCTGTTAAAACTGTGTGGCCACAACTTCCACTTGTGAGGTGGAATTGCCTGCTGGAATGGGAGAGTTGCACCAACATCCATGATCTTGAACACCTACAAGGCCCAGTGCCTCAGAACAGGTGCCTAGATCCACCTTCCACCCTATGCACTGTGACTCCTCCAAGAGCTATGTTCTTGAATGGGCCCTTCCAGTGGATACCTCCAACCCCACCCCAGTGTATGAAGGGGAGGGTTTGGAGGAGGTCACTTCATACAAAAGTACCAACTGAGTTAGCAAATCTTATTTAAGGGAAAACTTTGTAGGGAGATACTCCCAGCTCTGCCTTTGGCCTGCCCCTTTTCACTTTGCAGAGTATGCACCATATACTGTCCCTTTAGACGGGCTTCCAAAGGATCAGGAGAGCATGCCACAGAGCCCTTCTCTTTCTTCTGTACATCTACTCCGTGTGCACATACACTGGCCTCCCCATATGGTAGCAGAGGGGACAATTGCACTCATAACAAAATACTGAAGATTAGAATCTTGAGCAGAGTGTGTCATATATGATATTTTCCTCAGCTCCCAGCCTGTTACTGAAAACCCAGATTTTGTGGGGAGGGTTGAAGAAGGGACCTTATGTAGTTAGGAAGGTCCCATTTTAATCTCTCAGATGCATCTGGAAGCATTTACATTGGAAACCGATCTTCCAAGCTACCGAAGGTATGAGAGGATTATGTCTGAGCTTGTTGAATCTGGTCAAGCTGCAGGAGGGTTTTTAAAAATGGGCTATTAACTGCAAAATGCTCCTATTGAAAAAACTGTATCGGAAGCCTTGTCTACACTAGCACTTTTCCCATCACGGGTCCTAGCACAGCAATGGTGCAAACACCAGTGTAGACAGAGTGTAGGCATTTTTACTACCATCTCTTTGAACCCTGCTCCAAGCAGGATTAGGTGACATGATGGTAGAACTTCTACGCCCCGTCTCCACAGCTCTCCTAACATTCTTGTACACTTAAAGATTTTAAAAAAAAAAATTCGCTAGGTTCTACCATTTACCGTAAATTTGCTAACGCCTTCAAGTTCACGAAACTTCATGTATGATATGTCTGCTTTCTTCTTTCCAACATCTACATCTCCTACATAGATTTGCTTGATGCCAGCACCTTTGATTAAAGGCACACATTCATCACAAGGACATTTTGTCACAAAAATCATGCTTCTCTCTTCTGGTTTTATTTCTTGACACCTACAAGTAGTCAGAAAAAGATTCTGAAATTAAAAACTCGACAATTCTGAATGGTGGTGATTTAGGCTCAAGTGGGTGAGCAAAGAAATTCTCTTAATCATATTATATTCTGCTCTTCGGAGCAGGTTTGTTATTCCTACCAAAGCACATGGGAACAAGAGGACACATTTGGTTAGGATTTGCTATCTGAATGACAAACACAGCACTGTTAAAGACTCAGCATTTACCATTCTGTAGCATTTCATTTCAGGACAATAATGTGGTTATGACAGGTACCAGAGATGGTGACTGTTGAGTTTTAATGGTACCCATCACACACACAAGAATAAACAATTTAAGTCAAGTCCTTCACAGTTTTGAAGAATTCACAGAACCTATTTTACCTGTGAATGTTCAAATTTTACATCACGTTTAAATGTGTAGTTTGATTGTACATAGCACCTTTCATCATCACATCATGCTCTGCATCTACCAGTTGTTCATTTCTGAACTGCCTTTTTCTTTTCTGATATTAAAATAATAGATTCATATACCTGAATGTCAAGGCGTTCTGTTCAGCATGTATGATGTATCTGAACTTTCTGATTTCTCTGTCTTTTTGTTTATCATCCATGTGTGGAAAATCAGCATATTCAGATCCAACAGGAAAGGCATTATAACCACAGCCTACAAAATACATGGCTCCTGTTCCATCACAGCTCTGCAAAAGTGAACCATCAAGATTGATTTAATATTCAGTCTATTTGAACATCTGCAGGGTGCTGCCCAATATACCTATATTTAATTCAGTGTTCAAATTCTAAGTTGTAGAAACTATGAGTTAAAGCTGGGCTTTCACTAGCAGTATATTGTGTGTATGTAGTGGTGGGGGTTCTATATATATATATATATATATATATATATATATATTGTTCGTGTTATAATGTGACCATCCAGTGCCATATATATATATCTATATATCTATATCTATCCATCTCCATCCATGGCACTGGATGGTCACATTATAACACAAACAAAATAAATAATGCAAGTCATCCTCATTGGCTACTTCTCCTTGTAAGCAGCACTGATAGAGGCAATAAAAAGTATGAATGACTAAGTCATTAAGCCACATTGCAATATGTGAGAGCAGGAAAGAGCAGCTACAGGGTGAGCTCGAGATGCAAAAGCCTGTATTTGGCCATTGCAAGGAGATCTATCAGATAGCAGACGTGTTGATATAGCAAAGAAGTTAGTGGCTGAAGTTAGAATAGTTTGTGGTACAACTGTAAGTATCTGATGACTAGAATGAAATAATCCAAACCGAGTGCTAGAAAATACATCATGGAATAATCTTGCACTTGCAGGAGGACTCACTACCTCTCTTAATACAGTAAGAATAATCAAAGATGGAAAAGACCTATGAAATGAGCTCTAGCATAAAGAAGTTTATGCCTGGGCATGAAAAGAAAAGGAGAGTAATAACACTTTACATTTATCTTTCTAGTGCCATGTGAGGAACCAAGGCATAAAATCGGAGACTAAAGTTCTGTGACTTAAATTCAGGTTCCAGTTCTTATTTTGCTATGCAGATTAATTAGTCACTGAATAGACGTGGTTCTCAAAAAGTACTGCTCCAGTGAAGAGTAGCTAGAACCAAGAAAGCAAGTTGAAGCAGGAGAAATAGCAGAGACACATATCTACGATTAGTTAAGATACTTTTCCACAGAAGTAAAATAACCTGTCATTCTGATACATCCAGCACTGCTATAGTTATTTGTTGTTGCATCACAACAGTATAGTTCAGTACATGAATGCATTTTGTCTAGGTTTACCATTTATGAGTCAATGCTGCACATTAGTATATGCCTTGTTTTGGCATTTTTCCATTCCCTCAAACCCTACTCTGAGCCAAAGAAGGCATGTTCACCAGACATTTGCTGCAAAAAAAAGTTCAACGTGGTGTAACACTACAGTTGCATCAAACAAGGATTTGTCAGGTAAACTGTTGCCCTTTGACTTCTCTAGGGGAGAAGAACTGAATAGTGACACTGTTGAACAGCACATGTTGCTGGATTAGTAGTACTGGCAAAGCTTTGTAGCTAGGACACCTGGAATGACCGTAATTCTGTTACTATGGAGTCTAACAGATGAGAAACTAGGCACAAACATTGTGGCATTTACCAACTCAATCATACTAATCCATCTTGACAGCCTAATTATCAACCAAACGTTAATTTAGGGTTACCAGAGAATAAAAAAATGCAATTTTTAATAACATAAGGCATAAACACCTCTTCTACAAAGTTATATAGTCAATGCTGAGCAAAATTAAAGTACAAACTGCCAGTGTGAGACAAAGTGACAATTTTTCCATACTCACAGATTTTCCTTCTGCCCAAATAACAGCTCCAACACCCGTTTTGTGATCCTCTAAAATATAGAATGTATAAGTAATAAGTACTTTTGTAGAAAACTTCCATTTGGAAATCTGATAGCACTACCTAACAATTAATGAATGATGCCTCATAGCACATCTGAGAGGTATTAGCTTCTCTTTGCTGATAGGGAAAATGAGGCACAGAAAGATTAAGAAACTTACCAAAGGTTTGCAAGTCTATGACAAAGACAGGAACAGAACGAAGCCCTCCTGACTCAGGCTGTGTCTTTTCCCCAACATCTTAGCTGACTAAATAATTTAATTACTTTACAGTGCGGAGAGATATAAGCATTGGGTCTCTTTTGACAGTTATTAGATACTACTAACGCAATGTGTGCTAAGAAGATAGCTACCTAGAAACACTAGGTGCTTTGTGATTGGCTTTGACCACCCTACACAAAGCAAAGGACTTTGTGTTGGGAATCTAGCCCATAGCACCAAGGAGTTTAATGGATGGCAGAAGATCACTTGGAAACTTAAAAAAGAAAAAAGAAAGAATAAATTAATCAAAATTTATTTAAAGACAAACTTTTTAATAGCCACATACAGAATCAAGCTCTAGTACAGTAGAGTTTTGTGGGCTCTCTCTTACACACTACGCAGGAGTTTGAACAAAACTTTCATTTAAGTTATTGGAAAGTCTTCCAAGGTATTTCTGACGGGAGGCATTTTAACTGGTTAAAAATGGGGTGTGCTACAGTGGTAAAGAACATTATGGCTTTCGGTACAGAACACTTCAACCAGTGCTGTTCCAATTAACCATCTCCCAGCATTCTTAGTGCCATGTAGAATTCAGCAATCACTTACAGGGGGACTTTCCTGGCAAGGAAATGTTTTTACCAGGTCTTACAAATTATTTACATGTTTTTCTTAGTTATTCCTATATATTAGCCAGCATGAATTGTTCTCCTTCCTTGTATCCCTTCTTTACCACATGGTATAACTAATGCTACAGCTCTAGTTCAATATCAGTTAACATAGGATTAGGATGTCACTGCTAGCCTAAATAGGACAAGCTGGGTTGGACATAATAAACACTTATCCAAATATTTTCAGTTAATAAAGGTAAAACAGAAGAACAATTTGTGGCTGTAAACCTTCTTCCTCAAGTTTTATCCCCCCCTTACCTGACCCAATCAGTGCTCTTTGTTTAGATAATGCTCTCTGGTTTAAAAGATGGTCATCATATTGTGGTCTAAAACTGAGTCCAAAGGGTTAGGCAGCCCAGACTTGTGTCATCACCAGGTTAACAGGGAGTTGCCTCAACTTATCCTGGCATGTGCTCCCTACTTTGATCCTTTTCTCTCTCTATTCTGTGCCAACCCTGCCTCCTAACTTTCCAAAATGAGCATTCTTTCAAAGGGCACGATTTGCAAAAAAGCATAAAGCCAGGCTTCAAAACCTATGTTTAGGCATCTAAATAAATGGTCTGGTTTTCAAAGTGTTTAGCACCCAGCAGCTTCTCTTGACTTAAAGTTTCAACTGTAACTGAGGGCAGAATTGGAACCTTAAATAAATACAATTTTTCAGAGGGAGGCAAGAGAGCTAGAGTGGGAGTTTTAAAAATATGTAATTTAAAGAAAATTCTTCATTATGGCTCCAGAGCAGATTGAAAGGATATAAGATGCATGGGTGCCACATTTGCTGTGGGCATAGGGATGGAGAGTTCCTGTTAGCTAGTACCTATCATGCTCAGAGATTTCCCTATTTTATGGTTATTGAGGAACATGCAGACAGATGGCCAGACCTGAACAGCATCCCAAGCCCACACCGCTATATGCACATCACTCATCAATTCAAAAATTGGTGCTGGAAGTATAGGAAGAGTTGGTCACCAGCGGACAATTTTTGTTTACAAATCTGAATTGAATGGAATTCCTTTGCTTTTGCAGAAGTGTCACCAGAGTCACTTGTAAGAACAGACAGATTTCTGGAAGGAATTCCTCTTGCTGTTCTGGAGGCACAAAAGCCTCGAGGATAATTAGGAACTAGACAAAAGAGAAACTTTCTAAACCTTCCTGGGCCCAATTACATGCAAATACCAGAAATCTGCCTCAGATTCCCTGGAAGAGAGGCTGGAATAACGAACCAAATTTTGCCCAGCTGTACATGGGTGGAGTGCCCATTAACTTAGATGGAGGTTATGCTAGCTTATGTCAGTGCTGCATTTTGTTTTGGGGAGCAGTGGTTTACCTGCAGAAGGAAGTATGGGAAATACCCTTCCTATAAAAATTATATAGTGCCAGCCAGGGCATCTATGTCCTCCTCCACTGATCTGCCTGTGGTTTGCATGTCATTTATTTAATATAACACTTTAATTATGACCACATTATCAAGACCTCTGATGGTTGCCCCATTTCCAGGACTTTCACAAATACATTAATGCATAAACTGGATGCTTTGTGGCTCTCAACTGTGCAGGTGGCAGGATGTAGAGGGTTTAGAGGCTTATGGTGTATGATGCCTCGAAGAATGAATAGCTTGTGCTTCTTGAAGCCAATCTTATGTAAAAACCCAAGACTTATGCTGAGGTCTCTTTCACACTAAGGAAACTTAGAAATGGCAAGGAACAGGAGGCTGGATGAAAGATCTACAGGTTAAAGGTGGTATGACTTAATACAAGAAAGGTTTCCTGCACGCTTTGTCCAACAAACATTCTCTAAGTCCTAGGAGACACTTAGGCTATCTAGTACCAATGCATACACACTATGAAATAACCCTAAAGTGTGCAGATCTCTTGGTACTTGGCTCTCTCTATAGGTTACCCTACTACCATCTGTTATTTTTTCCCCTTGTCCTATAGAATAAAAGCTGGAAGGAAAAAACAAAAACAAACCATACTTTGCTCCAGAAAACCAAACATCTGAGTCAGTCTGAGTTCAGCTTCACAGTCAAACTGATTTGCAACTTAATCACATCAGTGACTCATTGGGATTAATGATGTGATAGATGTCAGAGAAGGGAAAGAGAAAGAATTCTAAATGTGATGAGACCTCTTCACGAAACACAGGATGTAAAAGTTTCTTATTGCCAGGTACATCCTAGGGGATGTGACACATACAATACTTCAAACTTTAAATGTGCAGGCCAAGGAAAAGGATATATTAATGTAAGGGATATACTGTATTTACATCCCTTTTCAATAGAACAAGCAATGTGTTATATTTGACCTATTTTAAAGTATTTGAAAAAAAAATCAATCTAACCAATTTTGGATGGATTTTTTAAACAAATGCTTCATTTATTAATGGAAAAATAAAAAACAACACTGGCAAACATAGTAACTAACCAACATGGAGGAAGCAAAAAATGAGTAAGGAAAGTATTGTCAATTTTAAGTTTCCTAAAGGTTATCATGTAGAGTATATATTTTTTCTCAGAGTCCTGCATAATAGCGCAAAGAATTTTAGTTTCTAATAGGGGAATTTGCACAAGTCTGCCATTATTTAATTAACTAGAGAATAAGGGGATTAGAAATCACTGGTATCAAAAGTAGGCCAAAGTCAATTCATAGCCTCTGTCCTCTACAAAAAAAAGTATTCTGTTCTTCAAAACTCCAGAATCTTTGCAAGCAGGAAACGGTCAGTTGTCAAGTGTGTAATGACTATCACTACTAAACAATGGGAATAGGAAAATGCTGTTAAACAAAACTAACTAGTATTCTGCTGGTGGGTAATGAACAGATATGGAACAGCATCTCTATTTCTGTTTACTGTTATTTTCTATTTAAGTATATTAAGTGCTTACCACAATGCCAACTGATCACTAGGTGTCACTTGTTGACAAAAAGGTGTTCGTATATAAAAGATCTTGCAGGGGCTCCAATAAATTAAATAACGTTGTAATCTTTGAGATAGGGGGTGCACACGCTGGCTGAGGCTTTGCCAGTGTAGGATAATTGCACGGTGAGAGCTCCTTCCATCTGAAGAGCTCAAAGCCCCTTGCAAACATTAATGAAGGCCCCTTGTGAGGTACTCTAAGTGGTACCCCCACTTTACAGATGTAAGAACTGAGGCACAGAGCAGGTAAGTACCTTGCCCAAGGTCAGATGGGAAGTGTTTGGCACTGCCAGGAATGTAACCAGGGTTCCTGACTTCTAGTCCCATGATCACCACAAGACTGGCTTTTCTCCCATTCACATAGAAACTCACCAGTTCGGTACGCCAGTAACCTGGCTTGTATCATACAGTGCCTTGCAATTTCTTGGGGCAAGCTTTGATGGTGCATGTCATTTGTCTGCTGTGATCCATTACAATAAAATCCAAAATGGCCAAAGGTAGGGACACTGGCAGCTACTGTGGCCAAAAGCAGGATAAGATCTTTCATATTTTGCCTAAGATTGCTAAAATACGGATTTTCACAGAGGTTCTCCAGACCCATAGTCATCAATATTTGCTTGTGCATTTCTTCATTTGAAATTAGGAATAAACGTTCATACTCCTTTATTCTTTCTTGTCTACACTCAGTATAAAAGTCAGTGTTATTCCCAGACAGAGTTTTTGCAATTTTTTGAATGAAATCACACTTGTAAGAGGTTTCTTCTACAAACTGCACCATATCACACACTAACGGCTGAAGCAAGAGACACACACGAGCTCGACTATTTGACTTCAATCTTTCTACTGCTTTGGCATCTAGCTTTGCATCTTCAGTACTAGTAGGGTTGGAGGCTTCATTCTGCAAACTTATTTCAGGATCTGCAGGCCAATAAGAAATTCTGTTCACTCCAGCTGAAACAGAAGATACACGTGGTTAACAGGAAGTGTGCAAACACTGGTGTTAAAAACATTTTTCATAACCTTAACTTTAAAACATTACCATAGAATACTGCATTTTGACCCCTTTAACAACAAGGAGTGGGTATTCTTCAAACTGTATTTGAGCATATGTGCTGGCAAATATCAGCATCAAGGGGTTATTGTGTCTTAGATTAGCTAGTTTTGCTTCTATTATGCTTTTACAGTTCTGGCAACCAAAAGGCCAAGATGCACCATCTCCAATAGACTGAAGCTGATTGTTTTCTAGATTGTAAGCTCCTCAGGGCAGGGACTCATTACTTTTGTGTCTTGTACCACCTGACCACATTGCCAGTGCATAACAAAAAAACAGCTACTGTTAGTGGTGCTCTAGGTGGTGAAAAGCAAGGGTTGCTGAAGAACAGTGCAGTCAGTCCACACCACACAAGGACGAAGAACGTGATCTGTGAAATGCACTTGGTCTTCATCTTAAATGGAAAAGGAATTTCAAAGAACTGCATCTGAATTCCACACCAACTCACATTCCTCTTTGCTGCAGTTAATACTTAGCATGCAATTGGATCTTCTGGTAAAATTACAGGTAGGCAAGCAGAATGCAACTACCTGGGATAAAACTAACCAGGACCCCCCAGGCTCCCTTGCAAAGTGTCATGAGAATGTCAGTGGTCAAAGGCCTAAGTTTTATGTCCAAGTAATGAACACAATAGTGCCACCTAACAATACCTGAGACACTGAGTGGCTACTGGCTCAGTGGAAAGAGTTCCACTTCCTGAATCACCAACTGTAGAATAGAGACATTTAATACTGGTTTCCCCTAATGAAAATATCAAGGCTTACTATGCAAACCAATGAGGTAAACATTTACATACAGTACTGGGGCAATCCCCAGGGAGTATGAGTTTTCTGTATAGTCAGTCAGTCATAACTAGCAAAACATCTAAATTAACACGTTTACCCTTTCCATACTACAGTCTGTAACTTACCATTTACAATCATTTTTAAACAAGTTGAACATGGTTTTCTGGAAAAATAAAGATCACAGTTTTTAAGCCTTGATCCATGTTTAATCAGAGCAATTTGACCAGCATGTAAGTCTGCGCTGGAGCAATGTAGACCAACCATTTTTATATTTTTCACTACGACCAGGCCAGTCTTCTTTACCTATTAAAAAGTACATTATTAATTTTTGTTACAAATTAAAAGTTCATAATGATGCCATGGCTCATTCAGTGTGTTCCACAAAGCAAGGACTTATCTACATGCAGCATTGCGGGATATGATAATGCAGTGATGGTCAAAACATGTTTCATGATCCCAGGATATTTGAGAGAGTAGGTGGATTTATCGGACCAAATTCCACTGGTGAAAGAGACAAGCTTTTGAGCTGCACAGAGCTCTTCTTCAGGTCTAGGAAAGGTATGCAGAGTGTTACAGCTAAATACAAGGAGGACTACTTATGCTAAACAATCTGTTCCATTTTGTATTTAGCTGTGACGCTGTGTAGCTTGAAAGTTAGTCTCTTTCACCAACAGAAGTTGGTCCAATAAAAGATATTACCTCACCCACCTTGTCTCTCAGAGATTAATAGGCAGATACATCTCTTGGTTACATTTCCTTTAGGCAGCGCCGTTCATTATAGATCTTGGAAGTACATGCTAATCTTTTTTAGTCATTCTACTCATCTAACAGATCCTGTATCAAATTTCCAGTCAAAACACATTGAATCTTACTGTCTTTTTTTCCTGGGGCAGATTATTCCCTGAAAATCCACATGGAGGATGGGACATCCCACAAATTTCCAGTCAGTATCTTTTGAATGATTCCATTTGAGTGAGGTTCGTCTCCCTCCCTTCCAGTCACAGAAACTAAAACCATGGCTCAAGGGATCTGTGTGGAAAGGCCAGGGTACAGCCTCCAATCCTAGTCACTGCCTACATTCTTGAATCCTCTCTGTTGCACAGTGAACCCTCCATGTAAGAATGCTGATGAGTTCAGCACTCTTATTCATTCTTCCAGGACTGAGGATGAAGTTATGCTGGAGAACATCTGAGCTTCCAACACTAGCAGGGCCGGCTCTAGGCACCAGCGCTCCAAGCATGTGCTTGGGGCAGCACTTTCCAAGGGGCGGCACTCCAGCCCCCCCCCCCCCCCCTTTTTTTTTCTTGCGGCACAAAAAGCCGGGAGCCGGCCCTGAACCAAGATGTTCCCTGTCAGCTGAGGCTTTCAGGCTGAGTTGGAACTGACACTGCAGTTCTGGCTGCAGTCACTAGATGGCGCTCATGGCAGCCTGAGTCGCACAGGCTGGACTGCAGTTCAGGCTGCCCTGCCGCTGGAGAGCTGGAGCATCATCCCCTGGAGCTGAGCCCGGGCTGCGGCGGCGAGAGGGGCTCAGCTCCGGGGGATGATGCTCTGGCTCTCCAGCGGCCGGGCAGCCTGAACTGCAGTCCAGCCTGAGTGTGAGGAGCTGGGGAGGGAGGGAAGTGGGGCCCGGGATGCAGGGAGGGAGGAGGGGTCCTGCTGCCGCTGTTGCTCTGAGTCTCCCCAGGGCGGCATGGCGTTTCCCCGCCTGAGTGGGCTGTGCAGGGGGTCGCCGGGCTGGGCAGGGGGCGCAGATCCCGGCTCGTGCGCTGATAGTGCGAGTGGCTGGGCAGCCCGAGCTGCCAGAGAGCTGCCGCCGCCCCCTCCTGCCCCCGGACCCAGCCCGCCGCGCACCTCCCCTGCCTCAGCCCCGTGCTGCCTGCACTGGGCGGGGAGAGGCAGAGCCCGGCTCCGAGCGGGGCAGCGGGGGATACTGCCCTGCCGGGGGACCCCCGCAGCTCAGGCACCTGGGGGTCAGTGTCTGTCCTCTCGGCTCTGCCTGCACAGGGCTGGGGAAGCAGCTGTCAGCGCCTGCCCCTCTCAGTCCTTGTACCCCTCATCCCGCTCACAGCCCCTCCACTTGTGCCTCCCCCATTGCTCCTTCGCTGCACCCCTTCCCCTTGTACTCTCCCTTCACCCACACCTCTCCCCTTGTACCCTCCCCCAGTCCTCTCCTCCCGCACCTCCCTCCTCCCCTGCACCTCTTCTCCTGCAACCCTCCTGATACCCCCTCTCCTCCTCCGCAAGTATATCACACCCCACCTCTCTGCCAGTGTAGAGCCCCCAAGCACCCCCACACCCGCTCCTCTGCCTGAACCCTCTTTACTAGCTCCGCATCCCTTTCTGGATACAAGGTTTGAGGGTTAGTCCCTATGCCTTCCATGTGCATTTGGAGCACTAAAGATGGGGTTATGGGGGCGAGATTTATACTAAAGTGAAATAAAAATAGGAGAAACGGTTTGATCCCCACTGCAAGTGTAAATGGGGATTACTGTGGTGAACAAGGAGGTCATGTTTGGGGGGAGCTCAGGGCTGGGGCAGCAGGGGGTGCGGGTGGGGGGGGGCAGAGAGAGCCCAGGGCTGGGGCGGCAGGGGGTGGGGGTGGGGGGGGGCGGGGGGGGGGGGGGGGGAAAAAGAGCCCAGGGCGGGGGGGGGGGGTAGCCAAATTTTTTTTGCTTGGGGCGGCAAAAAACCTAGAGCCGGCCCTGAACACTAGTTCCGCCTTTCCTCATCGGCAGAGGCTGCCTGGGGAATCAGGAAGACAAATCCTCCCTTTGTACATTGCAGGCAACATTTGCTACATCTGGATCATCTGTGTTTGTGGAAAAATAGGAGACAGCCTAGCCCAATGAGATTTTTCTAATAATGGCCATCATGGTGTTACAGCTACTAAGAGTGAGAACTGAAAGACTACAGTTGCTTAAGATTTATGAAGAAATTCCATTGTTAGTGATAGTTATGTATCTGGGATTTTTGTACAGCCCCATGTAGCTGCCTACTACCTGCCCTCTCCTAGTCACTTTGTCTAAGTTTGAATTTGGGTTCAAACTTCATAAGGAGCCCATATCTCTATCATAGGCAGAATCAGAAGAGTGGGTTTGAATACCCTAGAACAGCAAGTTAGTTAAATTTGGAACCTAACTTTCAGGCTTGGGACAGATTTCTAATTATTACCAATTTTTATTTTACTCTCCTTTTCCTGTTCTAGTTTATACATGAGCTGTATTGCCATTTCCCCTTCAAGCAGTTTAAATGAAGAAATAACATTTACACTTGTGTAAAAGTATTGGCACTAGACTAGAGGAGTACATTAAGATTTATCTTGACTCCATCAGGTGGCATATAGGTATGCAATGTATAAAAAGTTAATTATTTTTAAAGAAGAGTAACAAAATCCTTGATCCCAAAGGGATCGCTTAGAGAGAACCTTGTAACAAGGTGCTTACAAAAAAACACCTCGAATTGGAAGCATCACTGTCTTTCAGTTATCCAGGAGACCAGTTGACACAGATAAATACCCTTTTCACTAACACCCAGATATTCTAGCCTTAAAAAGGTGCAATGGACATTTCAAATGGCTCCATGCACCTACCATTCACTCAAGAGTTTGGTTTTAAAATGACAGTTTCCTATAACTATACAAGAAGGTTTGTGTTTTAAAGAGAGTCTGCTCTGTCGATGGGATCCATGTTTTTAAGCCCCAGTTGAGTGAACCATTGGCCAGCTTGGTGGACTACAGGAAAATCCATGGAGGTAGACTCCAAACAACATCATAATGTTTTCCATAACACTACATCAGCGTACACTCTCTTACCATCTGAGTAAGGTATAGACAATTCAAGAAATCATCACATGGCAACACATCGTAACATGTGCTGAAAAATACAGGGGACCACCAGTCTCAAGAGATTCTTTAGCATTTCAGCCCCATTTTTTAAATCTGGACCACCATTCTGCCACATTTATAACCCCATTCCTATCTTTCTAATTTAATATCTGTCAGCAAATACCAAGCCTCTTTTGAGATCATATGACCAAAGTTAATGTTGCTGATTGGAATTCCTTATCTATTGTAGTACACATGACATCTCAATTCTTTTCTGCTATAGCATCTATAGTACCTTAGACAGAAGAGCATTTACAATAATCCTATTGTTTGAACAAGGTTTGGATATAAACAAAAGAAAAGTATGTAACTACATTTAAGTTTAGATGGTGAATAGATAGCATTCTTAAATTTTTGCTCTCAGGTTCTGCTTTTATTCCTCCTGCCATTTACTACAGAAGAAAAAATGGTCAGAAATACAATCAATACAATTTTTGTACTTTTAAAAAAAGTACCTGGAAAGTATTTATTATATGTATAAATGATAACACACAACAGTCTGGTTAAGTGTATTCACAGCCTAAATGTTAGCATCTGTTCAGGAAGGACAACTAAACTGCAAGCAATATATTTTACCTGCGATTTCTTTTGCTGTTCAACTGGGGGAAATAGTTCCATCCAGAGACTGAACAAAGTAAAAAGGTTGACTTTGGAAAGCCTTGGTGTTTGACCTGTCATCAGAAAAAAGATGAAAGATAAATATTAACTGATAAAAATATTGTATTGCTTTAATGACTAAGACTCATAACTGGTGTTCTATAGTGTAGGTAGAAAAAGATGGAATACCTTGCTTAATACACACTGGACGGTAGTGTAGCTTGAAGTGCCATCTTCAACTTAAATTTGGCCTCCAAATTAAATTTTGTATAAACAAGCATTTATAAAGCCAATGACTAATATTGATGTTTCCTCTATAGAAAATGTAGTAAGCGGTTTTACACTGGCATGTACTCAATATATAATTTTTCTAAATGTACACACATGTAATTCAAATACAAGTGTGTATTTATATAAAGTGTAATAAATACAAAGAAATTGTTCCATTAATTAATATACAAGTAAAAACAGTAAAATAAATATGCAGAATTTAAAATTCAAACATTGCAAAAGTATGATCTGGAAAGTGAAAACAAAGTGAGCGATTTCACCTAATTTTATTACCAAAACTGAAAAGCAAAAAACAAGCAAAAATTGTGACTTTTGTTTTTAAAATAAAGAATTCCTTCACACTTTTAATGACCTAAATATTACTCCAAGCATCTACCATGAAAACTTTCCCTAGTCCTATAGACCAAGCAATGGAAGAGCTAGTGAGGCATTATAATCCTCAGTGGGCACTAGTAATACTAGTGCCTAAATTCATCTCTCCCCAACACCAGCCCCACAGATCACCATGCTTTTCTGATATTTCGATCAAATGAAGCAAGAAGGAAATGAAACAAATTTTGGCAGAAAATATGATTAGATGCAAATAAACTACAAAGATTTCCTAGAAATTCTACACCCGCCATGGTAGAGCCTAGTGGATCTTTTGCTTCTACTACTGCTGTGGATAAAACCCACTACATAGAACTTTTCTGCAACATAAATTGCTTTGTCTACCCAGCTCTGTATAATGTGAGGAACTGGTAACATACTTTTCACAGAAGTCATCCCACTGTGGGGGGAAAGCAGCAACCATATACTGAGTCCCACTGAATTTGGCACATTCATGGAGAAAGGCACATTAAATGTGCTGAAAGAAATCTGAGTCACCTCCTGTGAGTCAGACACATGCCTTTAACAAGTGGTGAAAAATAGCAAAGTTGCTAGGTGCTCTTGGGTAACAGACTGTTACCATCACCACCACCAATGAAACTAGTAAAATATACCACACAGTTTGGTCAATTCTCAAGAAACCATTTTTGGATCCAGCAGATCTTACAAACTACAGCCTGGTGTGAAATATTCAATTTCTGATCAAGATAACCATGAAATTAGGAAAGAGTCACCTCCAAACACACCTATCCACCACCAATATCTGGGACTCCTTCTATTCCATATCCAGGTTTGGTCTTGGAACATACAGTTCTGGTAGTGCTGATGGATGACCTCCCCCATACATAGATAGGAGGATGTCTTGGGACTATCTGTAGCATTTACACAGTTGGCACAGCATACTACTATTTTGCCTCAGAGACAATAGCTCTGATATGCTTCCATTCCCTCCTTTAGGGATGCTTGGAGAGCTGTGATGAGTAAATGCTCCTCTACACTTCAGAGCAGTCACCTGTTAAGTCCCACAAGGCTCAATCCTTTCTCCCATCCTTTTTAATACCTACAGGAAGGAAGGTGAAAAAAGTGAAAGCAAGAAGAGATAGAAGAGGGTATTTGTATTTATTTATTTTTAAAACAGTCCTAACTGTCTCAGGGAAAGTAGGAAGAACAATTAGACCAGTTGCCTATTTTGATGTTCTCTCTCTCTTTTTTTTGAGGGGGGGGGGCAGGAAGAGAGGATATGGGCATTTGGATACTGTAGCGATAGGTGCTGTTATGTGAACCCAGGTAGAGAGACAAGTAGGTAAAAAAATGTGTTTGCATACAACCCAATGTAACTGACTGTTTAAAGCAACAGTTTATTTTTAGAGTTCTCTCCACAGAAGAATCACAAATAGCATCACAGCTAATTAGAATCAATGCAAACATAAGTAATATGTGCACATTACAGCAACAATCATAGAATCATAGGACTGGAAGGGACCTCGAGAGGTCATCTAGTCTAGTCCCTGCACTCATGGCAGGACTAAGTATTATCTAGACCATTGCTGACAGGTGTTTGTCTAACCTGCTCTTAAAAATCCCCAATGATGGAGATTCCACAACCTCCCTAGGCAATTTATTCCAGTGCTTAACCACCCTGACAGTTAGGAAGTTTCTCCTAATGTCCAACCTAACCTGCCCATACTGCAATTTAAGCCTATTGCTTCTTGTCCTATCCTCAGAGGTTCAAAAGAACAATTTTTCTCCCTCCTCCTTGTGATAACCTTTTATGTACTTGAAAACTGTTATCATGTTCCCTCTCAGTCTTCTCTTTTACAGACTAAACAAACCCCATTTTTTCAATCTTCCCTCATAAGTCATGTTTTCTACACCTTTAGTCATTTTTGTTGCTCTTTTCTGGACTCTCTCCAATTTGTCCACATCTTTCCTGAAATGTGGTGCCCAAACTGGATACAATACTCCAGTTGAGGCCTAATCAGCGCAGAGTAGAGTGGAAGAATTACTTCTCCTGTCTTGCTTACAACACTCCTGCTAATACATCCCAGAATGATGTTCGCTTTTTTTGCAACAGCGTTACATTGTTGACTCATATTTAGCCTGTGGTCCCTATGACCCCCAGATCCCTTTCTGCAGTACTCCATCCTAGGTAGTCATTTCCCATTTTGTATGTGTGCAACTGATTGTTCCTGCCTAAATGGAGTATTTTGCATTTGTCCTTATTGAATTTTATCCTATTTACTTCAGTACTACCATTTCTCCAGTCTGTCCAGATCATTTTGGATTTTAATCCTATCCTCCAAAGTACTTGTAACCCCTCCCAGCTTGGTATCATACGCAAACATTATAAGCATACTCTCTATACCATTATCTAAATCATTAATGAAGATATTGAACAGAACTGGACCCAGAACTGATCCTGCGGGACCCCAATTGTTATGCAATATATAACAAGTGTGAGGAAATTCCTGTCCTCACATTTTCTAAAGAAAAACAAAACAGTAAAATAGGTCTACTCTTCATGTAATTTTGGCTTGTAGAGTTTATCCCATTAATCTATATTTCTCTTGCATTTATGAATTTCAGAGCCCTTCTGTAGCCAGAACATATATATTCCTTATAGATGGTCAACAAAAGTGTGTAGCACAATGGATAGCTTGTATTATATGTTTGAAAGGCAACTCCAAATATCTGTTAAGGTGGACCTTAAACAAACATATTGTGACCTGATTTTCAGAGATGCTGAACACCTGCAACCCACTGAAGTTAATGTCAGTTAGAATCATAGAATATCAGGGTTGGAAGGGACCTCAGGAGGTCATCTAGTCCAACCCCCTGCTCAAAGCAGGACCAATTCCCAACTAAATCATCCCAGCCAGGGCTTTGTCAAGCCTGACCTTAAAACCTTTAAGGAAGGAGATTCCATCACCTACCTAGGTAACCCATTCCAGTGCTTCACCGCCCTCCTAGTGAAAAAGTTTTTCCTAATATCCAACCTAAACCTCCCCTACTGCAACTTGAGACCATTACTCCTTGTTCTGTCATCTGGTACCACTGAGAACAGTCTAGATCTATCCTCTTTGGAACTCTTTCAAGTAGTTGAAAGCAGCTATCAAATCTCCCCTCATTCTTCTCTTCTGCAGACTAAATAATCCCAGCTCCCGCAGCCTCTCCTCATAAGTCATGTGCTCCAGCCCCCTAATCATTTTTGTTGCCTTCCGCTGGACTCTTTCCAATTTTTCCACATCCTTCTTGTAGTGTGGGGCCCAAAACTGGACACAGTACTCCAGATGAGGCCTCACCAATGCCGAATAGAGGGGAATGATCACGTCCCTCGATCTGCTGGCAATGCCCCTACTTATACAGCCCAAAATGCCGTTAGCCTTCTTGGCAACAAGGGCACACTCTTGACTCATATCCAGCTTCTCATCCATTGTAACCCCTAGGTCCTTTTCTGCAGAACTGCTGCCTAGCCACTTGGTCCCTAGTCTGTAGCAGTACATGGGATTCTTCTGTCCTAACTGCAGGACTCTGCACTTGTCCTTGTTGAACCTCATCAGATTTCTTTTGGCCCAATCCTCTAATTTGTCTAGGTCCCTCTGTATGCTATCTCTACCCTCCAGCGTATCTACCACTCCTCCCAGTTTCGTGTCATCTGCAAACTTGCTGAGGGCGCAGTCCACACCATCCTCCAGATCATTAATGAAGATATTGAACAAAACTGGCCCCAGGACCGACCCTTGGGGCACTCCGCTTGATACTGGCTGCCAACTAGACATGGAGCCATTGATCACTACCCATTGAGCCCGATGATCTAGCCAGCTTTCTATCCACCTTATAATCCATTCATCCAGCCCATACTTCTTTAACTTGCTGGCGAAAATACTGTGGGAGATGGTATCAAAAGCTTTACTAAAATCAAGGAATAACACGTCCTCTGCTTTCCCCTCATCCACAGAGCCAGTTATCTCATCATAGAAGGCAATTAGGTTAGTCAGGCATGACTTGCCCTGGGTGAATCTATGCTGACTGTTCCTGATCACTTTCCTCTCCTTGAAGTGCTTCAAAATTGATTCCTTGAGGATCTGCTCCATGATTTTTCCAGGGACTGAGGTGAGGCTGACTAGCCTGTAGTTCCCCAGATCCTCCTCCTTCCCTTTTTGCAAGAGTTCAGAACCTTTGAAAAATCAAGCCACTTTTTTTTTTTTAAAACTGCTGCCAATGTATAGTTATTGAAAGAGAACTTTGCAGGTGTATCAAAGCACCATCATCCTCCCAAATAATTCTGGGGATGCTGATCTCATCCCCAATACAAGACTCAGCAAAAGCAGTGTCAAAGGGCAATTCCTGGCTAGAGTATTGGTCTTGGGAATGAATAGGAGCCAAGCTTTGAGTCACATAAAACGTCATCCAGGAAGTAACACTATCCTTCATTTCAGTATCACTCAACAGCAGGGAAAACAAACGCTTGTTATTCAATTTCGAGGGTTTACACTGGCAGAAAGAAAACCAAGGCTGGATAGAAGGTTTTCTTCCCATCTGTACCCACCATAAGGACTGGGTTTCTCAGAGGAATTCAAGCAGAAGGGAGAATGGTTCTCTTCTTAAGCAGAGCTTTAGCAGCACCATCTTTATTTCCCATGGTGATCAGGCACCATAAGTGTGGTATTCATGGGCAGTCTGCACATACACCTTATTCCCCCTGCTACATTTGGGTCACAAACACTGTAAGGGAAAATCTGAAGCCAATCAAAATTAGTTTCAGTTAGAATTTCATAACACTCTTGCAAGATTATTTTGCAAAACCTCTATTTGGGCCCTGCTATAGGTGGATCATGCCTGTAGGCATATGAAGGCATATTTAGATTTTTAGACATGGCTAGAGTAATTGTTCAGGAATAATTTGGTCTTTGGATTTAATAAAGGAATTTATGATTGAATTGGTGTCATGGTAATATCCTGTATTAATAATAATAATTCCAACAGTATCAGAGGGGTAGCCGGGTTAGTCTGGATCTGTAAAAAGCGACAAAAAGTCCTGTGGCACCTTATACACTAACAGACGTATTGGAGCATAAGCTTTCGTGGGTGAATACCCACTTCGTCAGACACAGCTTATGCGCCAATACGTCTGTTAGTCTATAAGGTGCCACAGGACTGTCAATTCCAACAGTGTTACTTTTAAGAAAAGGAATGCTTCATAATTAAGTACACAGGCCATAAAACCCAGTTAAGACATACAATACAAGGAAAAAAATAAAACTAGATTCCAAAACTCAAGTAAGTAGTACTGGTTTAGCAGGAAACCATATAAATAAAATTTAGTGGGAAACACCCATTGTTAGTAATGCTCGGAAAACTTCAAGAAGAATGATGGGGAAAATCTCTGAGCCGTCCTGCCAGAGGAGCAGTTACCAGGCAGAAATAGACTTACAAACTCCCTAATGAGTGTTTCAAAAGATAATAGATGGCTAAGCAACATTTCTAATCATTAAATAATTTTAAAGTGTGTGTATCATGTAAACAAAGAACTACAAAGGAAGAGCCGCTAGCATACGTGAGAATATATACTCCTACACTTACAGCTCTTGCAATAGCAAATTAGGACCAGTTACCTAGAAAAGATTTTACCATAGTGTAAACTTAGATGAGATTATAATTTGAAAAGATGTGCGAAGAGATGAGGGAGTGGAAGGAAAGAGAGAAGAACACAGTCATCCACACATCTTGTTTTCCAGAGTATTCTTCCGTCTTCTATGTACTTACATATTGAACGGTAAGCTCTTTGAAAATGGGACTCAGTTAACATGCTGTCGATGTCCCAGTGGGGGAGCCTCCTCCACTGTAGTCATAGATTTTAAGGACCACTAGCTTGACCTGCTTAACACAAGTCAAGAACCTCACCCAATGATTTCTCCATCAGGCCTATAACTGCTGTTTCAACTACAGCCAGGGGTGAAAGTAAAGCTGAAAACGTACTGGTACGGGGGCCCCAGAAGGGGCGGGGCTGGCTCTACCCCCCCTGGAAGGGCTGGTGGTCAGCATCCCACAGCCAGCCCTTCCAGGCTGCCTGGCCCACGCCGCCCAGGGCTCCAGGGACGATTTAAAGGGCCTGGGGCTCGCCACTACTGCAGCAGCAGATGGAACCCTGGGCCCTTTTAAATCGCCGGCTCTGAGGCAGCTGCTCCTTTTGCCCCCCGCATTGGCAGCCGGGGGGGGGGGGGGGCAAAAAGGGCAGGGACGATAAAGCGCTGCTCTGGCAGGGCCAATGACAGGGGGCACAAAAGTGGCAGCGACGTTAAAGTAAGGTGGCAGGGGCCGGTACCGGCAGCCACGTTTTACTGGTACGCCATACCAGACCGTACCGCGTTACTTTCACCCTGACTACAGCACATCTGTTAGAAAGACACACAGCCCTAGTTGATCAACTTCTAGTGATGGAGAACACCAAGGAGGTGGGGAGTAGGTTCCAGTTTGGTGAGGGGAGGCAAGTGGGATAGAAGGAGGCTCTTGCCTGACATGCTGCCAGGCTCAGTCCTGGAGGCATGGAAAGATCACATTGTGAGGGAGACAGGCTCCCTCTTATCTGTCAACCTGGATATCGGGGAGGGCTGTCTGCTGGGGATACAGAACAGAGAAGCTCTTACCTGACATGCTGTCTGACCGGGGCTAGGGGTGGGGCGGTCCCAGCAGAAAGGGCATTAAGGAGCGCTCACCTGGCACGCTCTCGGTCTGGGTGCCGAGGATGGGGGAGGGGCGCTCCCCTGGCACGTTCTCGGTCTGGGGGGTGGGGGAGGGGCGCTCACCTGACACGCTCTCGGTCTGGGGGGTGGGGCGCTCCCCTGGCACGGTCTGGGGGGTGGGGGAGGGGCGCTCACCTGACACGCTCTCGGTCTGGGGGTGGGGCGCTCACCTGACACGCTGTCGGTCTGGGTGCCCGCGGTGCTGACTCTACGCCCGGTCGCCACTTGTCCATCGCCCGGACCCTCCGCACTTTGCATCGGTCTCGCTGGCCTCACCCGCCCGCTAGCGGCTCGAGCAGCTCTGGCGACTCAGCTCCGCCCCACATAACTGCTGTGACAACAAACACCCATCAACGAGCTAGCGCGGCGCGAGCTCTTGCGTCAGCATCACCAAATCATCATGAAGCTATTGCCTTGACCGCGAAGGGGCGTGGCTGGCGGGTTCAGGCGCTTGGGAGGGGGAGGTGAAGTCACTCCAATGAGCGTCCTTTGGTTGGCTCAATATGGGGCGGGCCATGCCGGGGTGGGCTGCGGGGAGCTGAGCGGGCTGCTATGGGAATTGGACGGTTGGCGGTTTCTTATGCTCTCCTCAGCAACGGCGCGCGGGCCGGGCCGGGCGAGCTGCTTCTCGCGCGTGGCCGGTTCAGTCGCACGCAGGGATGTTTTGGCGCCGCGCTGGCAGGGCGAGAAGCGCAGTTAGCGGTGCGACGGTTTTGTGTGGAAACTGGACCCGTTTGCAGACATATAACGGCTGCCTGGAGCCGCTGGAGGGCCCGGGCATGTCAGGGGACCGGGGCTGGACGCAGCGCTGCTGGGGCGGGGAGGGAGCAGCAGCCCCAGCCCCAGGGGCTCTGACCTCCCCCAAGGGGTTAGGACAGTTTTTACTTTTCACTCAGTGGGTTTGTTTTTAGGGAGCCTGGGACGTGTGGCCCCAGCCTCGTGCGCCGCACGCGCTATTCAAGGCACAGAGCTCTCCAATGGCTAGAGCCCTGCAATCCGCGGATACCGGCTTCACATCCACGGACCATTTTTGCAGATAGTGGATCGGATGCAGATACAACTACGCAGCGCTCTACTCCCCGGCAACACCTGGCCTGCGGCATCCGGCTCAGGCAGCACGGGGGGGGCGTAGCACACTTGGGGCCGGGGGCTGTCCCGCACCTGCTTGCCGCGCTGCTTCCTGTCCAGCAGCTCGGGCCCTTCGGGCAGCACCAGCATCCCCACCATGCCCAACCCGGCAGCACTAGCCGCGCTCCCAGCCCTGGCCTGCCGGCTCCTGGGCAGCAGGGCCCACCCTGGCCACAGGGATTGGAGCAGGTGGGGCCCCAGTGCCCCACCTCACTGTGATACAATACACATCCCTTGTGAGCCCCTGGGAGCAGCATGCGATGCGACGCCCCTTCCTCCAGCCCCCCTCAGTGCTGCTCCTTCTTGAGTCCCTGTCCCCCTGCTGCCACTTACCCCTAGCCTCTTCCCTGCAAGACACCCCCCCCCACACACACCAACCCTTGTGAGAGGGCTTGCTGCTGCAGGTGCAGATGCAGATACAGGTAAAAGATGGCTAGTGGATCACGGGTCGGATCATGGGTTGATCCTATCGGATGTGGATCCACATTTTTGTATCTGCGCAGGGCTTGACAAATGGTCTGGGCCGGATTTAAGGGCAGGTGATCCAGGCAACTGCCTGGAGTGCCAGGCTTGGGGGGGCACTAGGCTCACAGATTTACAGATAGTAACGTGCACATGTATCATCTTATATGACGGATAAATCACACATGTAAATCATGCATCAAAGTGGTGAAATGGGCTACAAATGGAAAATAATAAGGTAGTCAAAAGTTTAACAAATGGGCGAGGGGGAGGTGTCAAAGACATTCCTTGCCTGGGGCATCATTTTGGGCCCTGTCTACTGTGGCAAGTTTCTGTGCAGTAAAGCAGCTTTCTGCGTTGTAACTCCCGAGGTATACACACTGCCAAGCCACTTAGTGCGCAGTTGTAGCACTGTAAAAAAACCACACCAATGAGAGGCGTACAGCTTTCTGCACCGGGGGTACAGCACTGCGGTGCCAGTGTAGACACTGTGGTCGGTTACAGTGCTGTGATTGGCCTCTGGGAGGTGTCCCACAATGCCTGTCCTCACCTCTCTGGTCATCATTTTGAACTCCACTGCCCTGCCTTCAGGTGACCAACCATCATCCCCACCCCGTAAATTCCTTTGGAATTTTGAAAGTCACCTTCCTGATTGCTCAGTGATGTGTACAGGGGTCTCAGCACATCTTTCCAGGTTCCCATGCCCGCTCCACGCACCAGGCCATTCCCCGCTTGGAGCAATGCCGAACTGCTGGGCCTCATCAGCATTTGGGGATAGGAGGCTGTCCCGTCCCAGCTGCGCTCCAGCCGTAGGAATTATACCACCTGCGGACAGATTTCACAATGTATGACAGTGTGAAAGTGAAATGAATTATATTAAAGAAATAGAATGAATTAAAGAATGCTGTACGTACCTTTAAGTAGAAATGAGAAATGCTGCAAGCCAGGGGGCAGGAAAGCAGACATTAACTGCTTAATGAATTGCCCCACTTAAGGGCAATTGGTGAAGCATTAGCCTTAGATCGATAAGAGTTAATAAGGAAGCAGGATATGCATATTGTGCCCTATGCAAATGTTACAATTTTGCTCTCTCTGTCCCTTTGTTTAGTTCGCACCCTTTTATCTGTATAAATAAGACTGTTTGAATCTTGCATGGGGGCTCACATTATCTGAATGTATTAGCAGAGCGCTGTGCTAATAAAACCGAGTGGTCTGACAAACTATGAGTCCTGAGTCTAACTTTGACAACAGAAAGGGGCCAGGACTGGGACACACTTCAGTGCAGGGTCAAAGTGAAGGAGCCGCAGAACGCCTACCACAAGGCGTGGGAGGTAAATTGCAGCTCCAGTGCTGCGCCCATCGGCTGCCAGTTCTTCAAAGAGCTCGGTGCGATACTTGGTGGCGACCCCACCTCCACTGTGAAGATCACTGTGGATACTACGGTGGCTTGTGTGCCAGTCGAGAGTGGACTGAGCCAGGAGGAGGAAATCTTGGATGAGGAGAGGGAGGGGGATCCAGAGGCAGAGGACGACTCGGAGGTCAGAGATGCATGAAGCCAGGAGCTCTTTTCTACCCTGGAGGAGGCTAGCCAGTCACAGCTGTCAGATGTTGGTGAAGCACAAACAGGAGAGGAGGCCTCCGGTAAGTGGATTTGATTTTGGGAATCACTGAGGCGAGTTGTTGGGGGCAGGAGGTTTCAGAAAGCAGGCTTGTCTCTGTATGATGCAGGTCCCATCACATGCCTAGTCTGAGTGGCGGAACAGGCTGTTGATTCACTCCTTCACTTCACTGGAATCTGCCTCAGAGATCTCCAGGAAACTCTCATGAGATACTGAGCAATCCACTGCCGCAGGTTCTTTGGCAGAGTTGCTTTGTTTCTTGCCCCATTAACGGTAACTTTCCCACGCCACTGTGCCATCACAGGAGGGTGGGAGGGGGAGGAGGAAACCATTGCTGCACACAGGCAAGCTGCATAAGGGCCAGGGTGGAAGCCGCAGTCTTGGAGAAGACCCTCCCTTGATTCTCTGCTCACCCTCAGCAGCGAGATATCTTCCATAATGATCATATCCTGTGGAAAATGTGGGGACAGGAATGATTATCAGCCCCCCCCCACACACAGTGCTGACTCTCCCCAAGAGCCAAGTGACCAATGAGCAGCAGGGTCCGGGAAAACTGATTTACCCTGTCCCTGTGGCTACTCACCATTTTGGGGGTCTTATGGCTCATGCGTGCTTGCCTGTAGTCAGCCAGTTAGTGACAGGTGCGTGAATACTGGCTGTGTTTTAAATCACTGAATCAGTCTTCTGTGTGTTGCAAACAATACTGCTTCTGTAAAATGTTGCGTTTAAACTTCACAGAGATGACCATGGGAGCCAAGCCTCCCTCTTTGTTATCAGTGGCTGAATGGCTGCACAGAATTAGAAAGCGGCCACGAAAAACTAAGGAGGACTTTCTGCGTGATGTTATGATGCACGCCACGGCCAAGAAACACGAATTGAAGGAGTAGTGCAACAGCGAGAAGAGGGACCGAAAGGAGAATACGGCACGCCAGAGTGAAGCCACGGAGCGGCTTTTAAACGTTATGGAGCACCAAGCGAACATGCTCCAGGCAATACTAGCACTGCAAACCGAGCAGCTCTGCGCCCGCCCTCCCCTGCAGCCGCTGTCGCAAAACTCTTTCCCATGCTCCCCCCAGACACTGCCAAGATACTCTTATCAACCTCCTGGCTCCAGTCTGTACCTGTGGCATTCCACTCCTTCCCTGTCACAGTCCAGCACTGCAGAGTCCCACTACCCACTGCACTCAACACCCAACCTTTTGCAGTTTGGTCCTGCTGAAGTACAGGACCCACTGCATTGTACTCCAAAGGAGAAGATTGGATATGATCCCTGGACATACACAAATCTTTAGCTATCCCGGGACCCCACCTCGTCCTGGGACCTTCCCTTCCCCCATCCCCCCCAGTGCTGATGGGTTTTTTTGTTTGACTCTCTCCTCCGGTTGTTGTTTTTAATAAAAGAATTGTGTTTGTTTGAAAGCAATCTTTATTCTATTAATTGAAAGCAAATAGAGCCTGACAAAGCAACAGACAATTATGTTAAACCTTCATATTGCATCATCTGCACCAATCAATCACCTAGCATTACAAACACTGCACTCCCGAGCATAGCAACAAATATTAGTGGCTTTCAGCTTCAAATTGCTGCCTCAAGGCATCCCTGATCCTTATGGCCCTGCACTGTGCCCCTCTAATAGCCCTGGTCTCTGGCTGTTCAAACTCAGCCTCCTGGCAAAAGTAGGATTCCAGGTCACCACAGAACTGTATCATGTTCGTGGGGGTGGTGGGGCAGAAGGAGAGGCTCCGAGATAGGACAGACTCTTCTGCCAGGCTAAGGGTATAGCTGGATGGAATCCTACTTTCGCCGTATCCAACTCAAGGAATATTTCCACCACACCACTGAACAGCACACTAACCCACAGAAACCTTCCTACCAACACTACAAGAAGAAGGATACTGCATTGACTCCTCCTGACGGTCGAAACAACAGACTGGACTTCTACATAGAGTGCTTCCGCCGACGTACACAGGCTGAAATTGTGGAAAAGCAGCATCACTTGCCCTGTAACCTCAGCCGTGCAGAACACAACGCCATCCACAGCCTCAGAA